GGAAGGAATGAGTAAAACCAAGAATCGCACTCAGAACAACCAGTTTCTGAGACAAGAGTAGAAACAAACACAACACCTTCAAAAGACTAAATTTCAATTTTTACCTCTGAGCCAAACTGTCGATCTTTACACGATAAAGTCATGTCGGAGGGAAGAGCATGCGTTTCCTAGGTTCTTGATGCAAGAATAATCGTGTTCGAAGTAACAGACAGCCGTACAGACAGTTAAAATACACGGCTTTCCCATAGTGTGTACCTTTTACGCACATTTAAAAACGCATACAAATTAATTATTATAGTTTTGAGCAGGGCTCTGTAGTCGTTACTAAAATCTCTGACTCCTTCACAAAAGCTCAATATGTATTAAAATGGTAAATGGTACCATAAGAGATTTCATCACCACCACGTGAATCATCAGCCTACATTTAAGACTTTAACCTATATTTAAATATACGTCTAATGGTTATTGCAGAAATCGGTTGATTTGTAGACAGTTTGTAATCTTAAGGTACCGGAGCCAAAGTTACAAAGCATTATTCCCAAACCATGTGACTCAACGCGTCGTTGAATCTCCCTAAGTGTGAGGCCGCCGTCGGCTCACACGGTAGCGAAAGTGTTCTTAAGATTTTATATCGAGGTCGGAGTCGGTACATTTTTACCGACTCCACCTAAAATTTCTTCCGATTCCACAGAACTGGTTCTGAGGTAAACTCCCAAAAATTAAGAATGACATTTTACATATTTTAACAGAGTAGAGAAACATGAACCTCTACTGAAAGAAAGAAACTTAATGTGTTCATTTTTATGTGATATACACTCAAAAGAAGCAATGGCAGAAGTTTAAATTTGTAGCACTACTTTTCACATCTTTATCATTGTAACAAACGTTAGCCTAATATTAAATATCGACGATAAAACACGTTAATATTCATGATTAGCTTAGTTCAAGGCACTTCTTAATAGGTGTCAATGTTTTCAGTATGTCAAATGATATAATAAGTCAACTTCGAGGGAAAGTCTATATATCTGTTGACAGAGTCGTTGTTAATATTAGGTTCTATATAACTTAAACTCGATATTTTTCCAGCACACTAACACAAAGTGTAAACTATACATCAGTGGATTGAACAATAGCCTAATGCACAAACGAAGGTTGCTTGAAAAAGGAGCAACCAGCTTCATTAAAGTGCCTCATTAATAAACAGAGTTCAGGCCAGACCACATAAGACTTAATTTCCTAATACACAGATTTGTAATCTTACAAATTTAGGCACGTTTATGGCCATACGACCAAATTCCGCTCGGATTACATTTGTTTTACTGTTCCATGTAAATTCTGAATGTTATAGAATATATAAATATGTAAACGTATA